TGTGGCTTTTTTTTAGGAAAATTCAGCTTTATATTTTTTTTGTTTTCTCTGTTCCCTCTTGTATTTCCTTCCTTCTTCCTCTCTTTTTTCTTCCTTCCCTTTTTTTTTCCCCAACTCACGTGTCAGAAATGTAAGAAACTAAGAACGCGGGATAATTTGTTCTGATCTGCTGTCTTGGTGAAGTTGCTCTGCCCTTCCATTTCCTTACAGTCAGTTGCAGATTGTATTTCTAAAGTAGGAACTGAAGCTTATTTGTGTTGTAACCTCCCTGTAAGTGGCCCGAACTGTGAAAATACAAAACTCAGTCTATAAGACTGTTGAAAAGGTTTTTTAGAAGACCAGATAGACGGGAAAAGCAAGTGGAAGCCCTGTTTAGAGAAAAAGGGAAACATTAGAGAAAACCATGAAAAAGAGAACAAAAGATAGGAGATAGCAAGAGGAAAAGAAAGAAGAAAAGAAGGTGATTTAAAAAGGAAGAGAGAAAGTGGAAGAGGAAATGAGAAACACCAGAGACATGGAGGGCAAGAGAGGACAAAAGAGGGAGAACAGATGTCTTTGGGGGAAAAATGGCTCCAACACAAATCCAAACTCATCAGTGCATGAGGAAAACTCCATCTACCCGCTAAGTGATCCATCCTTTCTCTGTGCGCTTTCACAGAAACACATCAGAGGCAGACGGGACCATCGCCTTAAAGCAACGACACACCAAACGCACAGCAGCACACATCTGGAGGGACATCCTCTTTCTCTGGTTTCTGGTCTTCTTATTCTCGATCCACTACCATCGATGGCTGACTGAGCACCGTGCCCTTTTTTTCCCAGCACCGCTATAATTCAATTACATGCAGTTATCTAAACCAGTGGATTTCTTTTATACGTACTGTGTGACAGTATCCCATTAACCTTCTTCAGCCACAGATTCTTTACTTCAGTGAATCCAACGTTCTGCAGGCAAACTCCATTTGTATTTATGTTCAACATCCCAGATTGAATATCTCATAAAAGGGACTTCAGTCAGAACTTGCAGCTTCCAACAAACACAACTGGCTGTGTTGAGTGGTGGGAGATCAGTGAGGGATTGTGATCTTGAAGCACAGAAATGAGCGGGACCCAGTGGCAACAGAGTGAATCCTGGTGCACCTTAACCTTCCTGACAGGTGAGAAGAAGGAGCGGGTTTCAATTCTCAAGACTTCTGTGACTTTCTGTAGCGCCATCGTTGGATTTTGATTTTGTGTAATATTCCTTAACAACTATTGGTTGAAGCTGTCGTGGAAGTTGGTGCCGACATTTATGTTCCCTGCAGGACGAAGTCAACTTTGGTGATCCCTAACCATCAATCAGGCAGACATTTCAGTTTGTCAGATTACATCCAATACTTCCACAAAACAAATGACACACACATGCTTTCTAAACCCCTTTTTACAAAATTGATGAGCTGCAAGTGTCAGGTCAGATGTGCTGTTCATATTTCATATAAAGACTTTGACTGTCTCCCTCTAAAGAGTTCATATACAGTTTTAGCATGCTAGTTCTCACTTGTTTCAGTCAGCTATGCAACAGTTACACCAGATTTAACTTGGATTTGAGAAGTGACTTATTTTGAGACTTGACTTGACTGGAGACTCAAATTTGTACCTGATAAAATCATGTTACAATAAATATAATTACGTAAAAGATTAAGATTAAATACATAAGATTAAAAATATAACATCCAGTTTTACTTTCTTGGCTGTACATCTTAAATATTTAATAATTAGACATCTTTATCTAACTTTGATAGGTCTGATACGTTAAAAACAACATATTGTTACAAATGTATGTATATAATGTCTGGACTTGATCTACTGCGTCTTGATTTGTACCTCATTTGTGGTGTAATATGTCAGTTATCAATTCAGTTTACTTTGTTGCCAAGGAATTTTTTCTCATTTGTTCTGGGAACTTTTAGGATTTCTTCTCTGTGTTGGCTTAAAGGGTCTTTCTCACCTCCAGATCCATCTTGTAGCAGTTCTAGAGTGAAATTTGAAACTTGACTTTCAACCACAACAAAGAGAGCTTCAGTCCAAACCTGAGCCCCTTGTGTGCTGCTGAATTTTAAAGAGCAAGGCGCTGACACTCGTAGGTTGAGGGTTTGATTCCCACTGGGGCTGAGCGACTTAAATCTGATACTGTTTTGTATCTAAATGATCACCTGACCGAGTCCAGAGAGCCTCGTCCAATGAACGAAGCAGCTCTGTAAGAAAACTGCTGTCTCCGGAAGATTTTTTCCACTGTAGAGAATTTGAGCCATGTTATTATTTTGCTCTACTTTATGTCATTGAGCTTTAATTAACACAGCGGGGGGGGGACTCAGCGTCCAAAGCTCGCATCACTGGAGAGCAAAGTCGGCCTCGTTAACGCTGCAGGAAGACTCAGGCTAATACAACCGTGCTTTTAGGCTGCAGTCGGGAGTCTACGGCAGATAAAGAGAACAACAGAATGAAACCGATTGTTCCTGGGTCTCTTCCCTTCAGAGATCAGACCACAAACTGTGTGTTAACATGTAGAGTCATGTAGTATGCATGGCATTATACACATGTATTTTAAAGGCGGTTGTGCGGATAAAACTTTAAACGTTTGGTAACTTTCCTCAGTTCAACCTCAAACTAATTTGATGGTATAATAAAGTAAGACAATAGGTCTGATGTATTAAAGTGTTGAGCCAGTTCAGTGCAGTTTGGGATAATTATGCAAGAAGTAGGTTACATCTTAAATGAGCCACTTCCTCTGAGGGAAAAGCAGCAGCAGTTAATTTCATCTCTTACCACAACAAGCTTTCCGTCTAAACATCTGTTTATTATATTACACAAATACATTATTAACCTACATCAGCAGGTTAATAATGTATTTATTATCTCTGTAGAGCCGAGCACATACACGCTGCTGTCTGAACCATCCGAAGAAAGTTTAAAAACGTTTAAAAAATAGATTTTTTTCACTGGTACCGAGGCACAAAGTGTCTCTGTGTGTTACAGAGCTGGAGGCGGGACTCGGTTAGCCTAACTTAAGGTCAGTTAAAGTCACTATTTGAGCCCTTTTTTCCACTCGCCGGCTATTTTGGGAGATCGCCAACAACATGGCCCCAGAAAAATAGCTTGCAAGCTAAATAGCTAGTGGTGTCGGGAGCCAGTAACCTCTCTCTCCAACACCAGACAGGAAGCAGCGAACCGGTTGTGAGTTTGGTAACAGCTGGAAAAAGCTCCTCAGATAACGACACACACATAATGAATTAAGTGCTGTGAGTCGGTGTTTAATTCGCATCGTGGATGTATCTGATCCTCCAAGCTGCACTTATTTTAGTTAGAAATCATCATTTCACAGTCCACTTTAGGATTTGTTCAAACGTTGTATTGCTTCAAGGGAGTTTGGTGCAGGAAGCTTTTTTTTCAGCTTATATGTATCATTTTTAAAGTTGAATCACCGCTACAGGAACAGAAAAAGGAATTGTTAAAGTATGATAATGTTGTCTGACTTTAACCGCTGTTGGATATTAGTTTGATTAATGGTTTAATAATGTGTGTATTGATTACAGACGCTGGCTGATCAGGCTAATTATCAGCTAATTTCACTCTACTTTCTAAGGGCAGCGTGCTGTAAATGGCTTTTAAACTACTTTCCTAATTAAACACGATATGCTTCTTATTAATAGTGTTAATAACGACTTCATAAAAAGTAGTTTGGAGACCAGAGAGACTCCTTCTGAAAGATCTTGTAGTGTGTAAAACAGATCTGACAACTTTGAAAGTATTGTAGTGTCCCAGGCTTTAGCATTAAGACTAGGCTTTTATTTAGTAATTTTTCAGTTGAGTTGAGCTTGGTTTTACAATCCTGTATTGTAATTGCCAATCATAAGGATTGTCTGGTGAATACCCACCAAAGACCGGGTGCTGGTCATGGTCGTTTTTATTGGAGCTTCGTATGCAGTCATCTATTCTACAATTTAAAATTGGTTTTAAATTGTTTATCCCACATTGTACTGGAGGCCCTGGAGGCAGCAGCTGATATTAGTATTTAAATACAGTAATATATCAGGTCAAACAGTATTTAGCCAAACAAACACTGTATTTACGGTTTTCTAAAAAAGTAACAGATTATTCAGGAGATTGTCGCTGGCACAGAGTTTAACCTTCTAAAGACTCTAAATAAATGCAAAATAATTCAGTGAATAGATTTTTATCACAGACACTGCACACTGAATAAGGCCTTTACAAAAAGATGAATAGATTTCTAAAACACGGGCAGGAACTCTGTGTGTGTGTGTGTGTGTGTGTGTGTGTGTGTGTGTGTGTGTGTGTGTGTGTGTGTGTGTGCTTCATATTAATTTTGCCAGGCAGAGAAATAATCTCATATTTCAACATGAGATATAATCTGATTTGTCAACTGAAGAGGTCACAACAGGTGAGTCTCGTATCCAGATTTAGTTGCAGGTATGATTTAGTTGCAATATATTATACGGCTGCGTCACACAGGTTCTCAGTGACCTGCCAGCATTTCAATAAGAGGAAGTAACCTGAACTGGAATCTGCTGCATAGAATACAAAATGAGATTAATCTGCAATGTGAAAGCTGCTCACGTCCTCACATGGCAGAGGTATGAATATATAGATATAAAAAATTTGCACCTTTCCTACCTTTTTATCTTTTATCTTTTTTTATATTTTCTGAGTATTTTATTCTATTGTATTTTATTCTATTGTATTTTACTGTATTTTAATGTATCTGGCTGTGAAACAACCCAATTTCCCTTCAGGGATTAATAAAGTCTATCTATCTATCTATCTATCTATCTATAGAGTGTATAGTACGTATACGTGTATGAAACTACGTGCATATATACAGTTTCAGCTTTGAATCTGCAGACTCTGTGCTCCATGTTTCCTGTTTTGAAGGTTTCCTTAAAGTTTTCCAAGTTCTGTCTTTGCTGCGAGTTTCTAACTGTAGTGTAATGAGTGATTGTGACCTTTATGGCTGCTGGCGGCCTCCTCCTCCCGCAGCCTCCTGAGACACTCCGCCTGGTCTCTCTCCACCTCCAACAGGAAGTTACAGGTGGGATGTCGTCCGTCAACCTGCAGAGGAAGAGGTACAAGAATCAGATTTATAGGTTTTGATGTTGCTTTCATGCGTGACCGTCTCCTTTCAGAAAGAACAGCGAAAGAAAGATTGCTAGCAATTTGACCAAACTGGTGGAATTATTTCCTTTTCAAATAGTAAATTAACTCCTAACTGAAGTTATTTATAACATGTAGATATCCAGGCTAAGAAAGGCGGTGCAGACATTTGTCTGTGCATCAACATTCTCCGTTCCCAAGCCAGATGAGAAAAGACAAAAAAAATGGCAAAAGAATTATTGTTATGTTGTGTTTAGGGTTAGGGTTGCGCTGGATGAGGGTCCTGGGGCCTTTTTTGGTCCAATTCCAGTCGGTCTCACGCTCAATGCTCCATCGCTCGCGAACACGACCCTGAGATACTTGAACTCCTTCACTTGGAGCATCAACTCACTCCCAATCCAGCAGAGAACCACGGCTGTGATCCCGCTTCACACTCGACTAACTGAGATAACTGCGTGAGTGTCGGCACGTACTTGTGTTTTTATAGTACAGATTTGTCATATTAAGATGATCGTGTGTACTATGATGCCTTCAGTAAACCTCTTTAACGCGACCTTGCAAAGTAATCTGTCCCAATTTAAAATGTTTATTAAAGTAAAATTACTTTTCCTGCTTAAATAGCAGCTTAAATCAGCCCTCAACTGAAGAGCAGAGTGATGATCCCCGAATCAGAGTGCAGCAGAAACACACATTTTATAGCAATACACCCTCATATGGCTGCAATCAACTGAATTATAATTTTAAAAATGGCTCATTGTATGTATCTGTATTCATCTTAAAAGATAACTGGTGGGATTTCAAGCTGATACACACGGGGAAAGTCAAGGTTATGATTGACAAATGAATACAGGGTCAAGATAAGCTGCTTAAACCAATCAGCCAACGCTCCCCCTGTGACTGTGTGTGTGTGTGTGTGTGTGTGTGTGTGTGTGTGGTTAAAACCTGGAGAAGCAGATGAACTAATAGTGTGTGAGCCACATAAATCCTGCAGAGAAAACTCTGAGACCCTGCCAAACAGCAAACCATCCTCCATGTTTGTGAATATGAATATCAGCGAATACAATGTGTGTGTGTGTGTGTGTGTGTGTGTGTGGTAATGTGAATCAAAGCCATACAACATACACAGATCCATCTGTGTGTATCTGTTAAAGAAAGGTAAGCCTGTGGTCTGATTTACAGCAGACTGCGGTTACATGAGGAAACAACATGTATGTGTGGTTTTATTCATTCACAGCCGGATTAATGCTGCTGAAATCTGAATTAAATCCTTTAATATAAACTTCTGCATTCACTGCAGTGAGTTTCAAAGATAAAAATCAATGAGTTTGCAGGGACAGCGAGGAACTGTTACATGATATATTTAAAGGGCAACTTAACTTTTAGAAGTTGAAAGATAAATTCATAGTTTTGTTCATCGTTCCTGAACAGTTTGCAACATTTAATGGCCAACTTGATTTCTGATATCTGCATTAAAGACAGAGACCGCAACCAGTTTATTTTCTTTTTATCAGTCCCTCCATGTTTTTAGGCATTTTTTGCAATGGTATTTTGGGAGGAAGAGAAACTTGAAAACAACGTTTTTTATTTGTATAATTAATAAAAAAAACGAAGGGAACTTGTTCCAGAGACAACCTTATCCATCATCCATCGTATCGATCAGTCCGCCAGGATTTGTTTCAGTGATGTTGGAAGTTGTGATGTTACACTGTGTTCAGAATCATTACTGCTTTTTCCATTATCATTTACCAGACAGCTGTTAAATAAATATATTTACATAATTACATTAATATCATAAACATCGACTATTGACTGGGAAAATCATTATTCAGGGAAAGCCCTTCCACAATAATATGTTTACTTACTCTATGTGTAAGGATTTAAATCCAATGTGGTCCTTCTACTCCGGTAGTTTTGCCAATAACTGGATCACTGCCCATCACTCCCAAATCCCCCTAGACAGACTGCAGCCCTTTATCCCCTGGCATTGAGGCAGCGGCTGGCTGTCATCAAGACAACACACACATTAAAGCGAGCACACAGTCGCTGCAAGACCACGAGCCAAAAGTGGCAGCCGAGGAGCATTTCGGTGCATCAAACACCAAAAACCTTTATCGAAAAACAGGAATAAAGGATTAGGATTCAGCTTTTAATGGCGAGAACGTGCAAATTAGCCGAGCCGCTAATTCTCAACTCAAAGTGAACGCGGAGATGACAGAAAGTGTTTTGTAACGTGGAGCAGTATCTTGTGAAATTCATCAGACGAGATGACTAAAACCTGACACTTCTATTTACTGCAACAGCCTGGAGGGAGAGGCGAGGGGAGGTTACACACACACACACACACACACACACACACAGAGAAACCACCTTCTCTTAACCTCCACTGATTTGGTGATTTTCCGGGCATAAAGCATCAACATTCACATTCACAACGAGCTTAATCTATATAGAAAGTGAAAATTGAGTCATCTAGGTTACATACAGCTGTTGTTTAAGAGCATTTATATGACTGAATGAGGTATTTAACCACAGGCTGAGAGAAAGTAAATGAAATGCTGTCCAAACAAAGGTTACATGGAACCAAAATGATCAAACTTAACCCCGCCTGCGACCTGCAAATCACTAAATCTGGGTTAGGCTGTAATTCAAATTCACTTCCCAACATGAAGAGAGATTTGTGAAAATACAGAAAGCTCATAATGAATAAATGTAGTTCCTAAAAGGTCAGTTTAGGTAAAGCAGTGAGCTTTTATCTTACATTTTACATTGAGCTCACTGGTGTCGCTGCAGACATAGAAGAGGAGGATCAAAACCAAAACTGTGAGACTTTCAGCTTCATAAGTTAGCATCGTAGACAGGAAATGAGGGGACAAAGAGAGAGAGGGACGACACGCAGCAAAGGTTCCCCTGGCTGGACTTGAACTTTGTGACATTGTGATTACATGTTCAGCACCTGAAGGCATCATGTATGCTTCAGACAAAGTGCAAGCACACTCCACTTTGGTTTTGGTTCATGCAGATGTGTGGAGATGAGAACGTGTTCAAACCTCATACCTATGAACATTAAATTCCATTCCTGCCAATAGATCCTCCTAAATCTTCCCTCCCTCATTTCACCCTTCCCTTCCAAGCACAAAGAGGAAACTACGGTGGCAGCTCTATCAAAACAGCATCAGAGACAAAAACACAATGATTCCTATATTCAGGTGATTAAACACTAATGAAAACACTTTCTGCCAATAATGCCTCTTAAATGTTACAAACTGCAACCTTAAGTAAGGGTTTTTTCATTGTTTTATTGCTACTTTTAAGTCTTAAACCAAAGCCCATATGTGCACTTTGTGGCTTCAATAATACAAAGACACAATGAAGACACACAAATACCTTCGTTAAAACATTATGTAGCAACGGAAACTAATTAATCAAACATAAAATGATGTGCAACATCTGCCTGTTTAACATCCGTGCACACATAAACGTCCAACGACCTCCTGAGGTGCATGTTTAACCTCGTCCTGGTCGTATTCTATTGTTGTGCATTGGCGAGTGTGTGTCTCTGTCCAAAGAGGAAGAACAAAGGAGACAAATGTTCAGGATGACAGCTCTCTTCAATCACCTCCGTCGTCCTTTCGCTCCCAAATGCCTTCATCAGACCACATTACGCCAATAAAGATGATTGAAGGGCCGAAGTTTCTGGCTGCTATTTGCATTTCTTTCATTTTCATCTGTGGATGAAAGAGTGAAGTAGACGACACTGATGCTGTTGGTTGTTCCTGCGCTGCTACTTCCCAAAGGTTACCTGTCAATCAAACAGAGCAGGCAGCGCTAACCGTGGCGGTTCTTTCTGCTCGGATTAACCGCTTCCTCTTCCTCCTTATCTTCTACTGATTTCAAGACCAACCAGCAAACTATAAAAAATGCATTACGGGGCAGTTTTTTCTGACAGCGATTGTTTAGCTCATGGAAAAAGTTGGATATACAACAGGCTGAATCACTGGGGTATTACAGCAGCCAGAGGAACTGACATTTATTTACATGTGAATGTGGAGGGAAATTTATTTCAGGGCTGGATGGAAACACAGTTTGGGTCTCTCTCTCTCTCTCTCTCTCTCTCTCTCTCTCTCAACACACACACTGTATATTCTACTGTAATGGGATAGTAGCTGTAATATTCTGATCTCAATCATCAACCATTGACAGTTTATATAACGGACAGAGCTTCCCAATCTTAAAGTGTCTTAAACCTGCAGTTTATGTAACAACCAGCAGGGGGCAGCTCCATTACCATTCAGTCTTATGGAGAAATGAGCCGACTTCTCTCTTGATTTATGAGCTCAGTAAACAGTTTCCTCATGAGTTTATGGTCTCAGTCTCTAGTTTCAATCTTATTCCATACAGTATGATGTTCATTTAGTAAATAATGGTCCCATTTAGAGTAAAACAGACCATAAAGCAACGCATCAAAGTGTCAATTTATAGGCCGTGCTGATCAAATTTGAAATAATCCAGAATCTGTTACTGCGTCGTTTATTTTTCAGCTAAAATCTTTACAGAAACATATTTTAGTGTACAGTTTAGCTGTAATTAGCCACCATTGTTTCCTGCTACAGTCGAGTCACAACTGAGCAGCCAATGAGAGCAGATCAACACGCAGTACGTCCGACAAACCGTCACGGCGATGACCGGTCACGCATTGAACCCAGACTGTAGGGAGTCTGAAATACTGATGGAAAGTTTTCGGTGCTTTTATAATCCCTGAATCCCTATTCATATAAGAGCTTTACCTTCATTTACTAGAAAAGTACTAAGAAATTCATCCTATTTAAGCTCGTCACGAACGGAGACAGTTGGTGCAACTTAGATGTCTAAAGAAAAACACAGCACACACACGGTGCTGTATTACCATAAAAGTTCTGTACAAGTGAATAACGGGAATAAATAAATAATAGCAGGAGCAC